TGAGCTTACCTGCAGCCTTTCTCTGCCGTGTTACACTACTCCAAAGAGCTGCCCCTGTTTTGCTATAGCATAGCACTGCCCTTAACCTTTGTCAGGTTAAACCCAGCAAAAGGAGTCAAACAAATATTTACTTGGGAGAAAGTATACAACTAACACGCTAAGTGAAATCTCCTGGCATCTGAAGGGTTCCAGAAGAGACCACATTTCTTTGATGTCATACTTTTAAAAGGATGTTTCTACCATTTGGAGAAAGCAGGACAATGCATATACAGAATCCTTCATAAAAATCCCAGTTCTGAGCAGTATGTATGTTAACTCTTTATACCAAGCTCCCTACATTTCCCTCCCTGCTTCTCAGTAACATATAAACGCATGAAAGAACATCCGCTTAATCTTCTCAAATTGAGTGTTTCTAAGGTTTTCCTCACAGATTGTTAGGTTCAACTCTCATTCTTTCTACCCAGAGAAACACTACAGTACAAAACCTCCTTCAAAACAGTTGAGACTACCTACTTCTTGTGAAACACTTCCAGATTAAATGGATGAAATGTAAAATTACTCTAACAAGTCAGAGTTAGAAGTTTAACCGCTTATAACAAATTACCCAGGTCTCATTACTGGATTACTTATTGGAGATTAGACAGTCGCACTGGAAACACAGGTGTGGAATGGAATGTCTGTATTACCAGCTCCAAAATCCTGCAATTACACACAGTCATACAAGAAACAGTCAATTCAAAGGATCTATTCCCTGTAATTTTCCTGATTACCACGATACTTCAGGCACTCCAAAAACATACAAGCAACCCAAGAGACTGAAACACACAGCTACAACTAACCACCAGAGTTAAAGCGAGGAAGACCAAGGGCATCACCAGCGTCCTGATCCTCTGCAAGGAATTTGTTCAATAAAATTTGATTTTAAAAAAAAGTCTAAAAAGCATGCACCGCTCTGCAGGCAGAACAAAACCTACCACCCCTTCAGACACACAAGCCCTGACAACCTCATAACGAAGGGTGGAGTGGGAAGAATACCTCCCAGCAACAAACTACAGCATTGGTTTAATCCCAGTACAGCTACTTCCTGCGTTCAAATCTGCACTCAAACCAGCTGAATACTGCTAGCAGCAGTAGTGCGTGGCATTTGCTCAACACAAGTCAGAAGTGCAAATCAAGCATTAGGCACTACAAAGAAACAGCAAACCAAACCGTGATTTTGATACCGCTGCCACCTATATTCACGGTCCACCCATACTTTGAGCACTGTGTGCATGGTTCTGGCTCACGCCTCTCAGAAAGGATTAAATAGATGTGGAATAGTTTTGAAGATGACCAGCCAGGACAATCAAAGCATTAGGGGCAAGAATCCCATATACTTGCCCTGATTTTATGCTCAGCCCTGGACACGGCCTTTCGGCCACAGTCAGGCCAGGATATTGAACTAGCTGGATGTTTAACGCGACACAGCACTGCTGCACTCACCATTTTACTTCTTCCAGTGCTTCAGTAGAAGGTGTATGGAAAACCCCAGAAGCTGAAATTGCTTTTTCATACATGTCCATTCCTGTGAAAATTTTAATAAGACTGTCTAGAGAAACTGAGTTTCTCAAGATCTATTTGAAGTAAGGTACACCCGTAGTTCATCTCATGCAAAACTAAAGGCAAGCCTTTTTAGCATTTCTATAGCTTTACTGTTTCACAACACTTTGCCCTCCCATTATAAGCTATTCCATCATATAGATGGAATAACTGAGATAGATGGGCTAAGTAATTGTTTCAAACTCCCAAAAGAGAAACAGCTATTAGAAAATGAGTAGTTTCTTGCTTCCAATTCTGTGCTCTGTCCAGTAGATTACAGTACTCTTTCAGAGATTACAAAGTAAAAGGATAATGTATTCACACAATCTGCTGCATTCATGGGAACTACTGAGCTCAATTCTGGTCAATACATCTCAAAGACAGAGCCGCAAGGGGGAAAGGGCCCAAAGACAAACAAGGACAATGAGAAACCTGGGAAAAAAAAAAAAATAAATCACACAAGCAAAGGCTGAAAAGGTGAGGACTGCTCAGCTTAAGGAGAAGGTAAAAGAGGGAAAAGAAGTCTACAGATAATGAATAATGAAGAGAATTCCTTTTGTCTCTTTCACATGAAGGATAATAGACAAAAACCAGAATTTAAACTGGTAACAGAGAATTTACAGAGTATAAAAGTTAACCTGTGGCACACACTGCCACATGATATTGGAGGCAGAGCGCTAAACAAGGCTTCAGGAAAAATGCCTGAGACACGTAGAAGAACGATGGCAGTAATCCAAGTCCCATTACAGTGAATAAAAATACTGAATGAAAATAAACTCTTTTGCAGCAGGGCATGTGTCAGCCTCCGACTGACAACACTTAGGAAGACTCTTCTCAAAGTTGTTCTCTGAAAGGTTGTTGCTGTTGTTGTTTTGGTGAGGTTTTTTTGCATCTTCCTTCAAAGTCTTTGAAAACTGACCACTGCCAGAAGAAACAGGAGAGTCTCTGTGTTTGATTCAGTGCAACAGCCACTACATTGTAAGGACTATGTAATAATTATTCTTAGCATCCTACTGGGAAGCTACTTCGTTCTCAACATCAACAGTTCAAAATATCTTTCAAAACCAAATCTAAGTCTCCTACTGCTGAATTCTGTTATCATGCAGAAGTGGGGACAAAGGCAACCAGAGGTTACAGACAGGCACAGCAGGGGAGGAGAGGGGAGAATTCCTTACAGCCTGAGCCTTAGGAGGAGAAATTTCAGCTTTCTAACTCCATACTGAGCCATCGCATTCATTCACTCCAAGCCCAAAACCTCTGAACTACCAGTGACCACACGGCAAGCCACCATCCCCTCTGAAAACAGCAGAGAAAGCAAACTTCTATTTCAGAGCTCCTCCCCACCTCATCCTCTTACTGACAGCTTTTTTCTAATATAGACAACACACATACATACATAGATATAAAAAAAATATATCTAAGCCCAAGTTGGAAGGTTTTAGCACAATGAAGGAAAAATAAATAAATAAATGTCAAGGTCTGCGTGTATTCAACAAATAAAACCAGAATTATATAAAAGCAACAGCTAATAAAAAAGATTGTTCTGTGTTGTGTTTTCCATCTTTCCAACCATTATAGGAATAAAATTATCCACAGAGAAGATCGAAAACCTTTTTCAAAACTAATACAATTAAGCTTTATTACACTGTTTCAAGTACATTTCTCTCCTCTCCCTTCCAGCCCCCACCACATCCCACTCCAATCTAGACTAACGGTTGGAGGCATTCTTCTATTTTATTACCAGCAAAATGCTAGTGTTTAAGGGTCAGAAACTATCTAGTGTTTCAAGAGAGGAAAGAAAACCTGTCCTTTTTATCTGCTTGCTTTTGTACACACAAGAACTAGAAGACAGTTTATACACAGCTCTGCAGTTTGAATAGGTCTATGGGCAAGCCACCTCACTCCCCTGAGAAGATCCTGCACTAAAATATCCACCACCTTGTTTAAAAAGTTACCCTGCAGAAAGATACATGGACCTGAGAAGGGAAACACAGAATACAACAAAAGACTTCAAAAAAGAGGACAATGCAGCCTGGACACAAACTTCTCCCCACTCCTCTGTCCATAAAGGACAGACACACATACAAATTTTCCCTGCAGTTTCCGCTTCATGAAACCAGATCCGGGGAGAATATAATAGAAGCACACAGCATGAGACCAAGAAATTGCAAAAATTCCCTTTGTGCATGAACATATGGACAACTGTGATAATTAGAACGATAGCTGCTAGATTGTTTGCAATTTCACTGAACAATCCCCATTATCTAGAAATAGAATTTAAAAATCTGAATGCAACACTGAGTGGTAGTTTTAATAGTTTATTTTTTAATGAACTGTATGGATTAAAGTGTTGCAAAATTGTATCATGTGAAATTGCTCATGGGCATATTTTATCATGAATGGCTTAAAAAAAATGCTGTATGGACAATCATGCAGTAGCAGGGAATGAGAAGGGGAATAGACGTGCCGATAGTTTTCTACCATTTCTATAATGTGTAATTTTCCCATGTTCCATACTCACCATCATGCTACATGTTGGTAGTAAAGCTGATTGATTTCTCTGTCTTTTTACAACCCACCTTTTTCATTGTTTGCATTTCTTTTTAGTCACATAACACCACTACAAGTCAGATGTATGCAACTCCCTGTCAGGAGGTCTAATTGCTTCAAATTGGAGAAGATTATTCTCCACATTTATTAAAAAATAAAGACTACTTATAACATTATTTCATTTTGCCAGGAAGTGAAAAATGCATTAGTTCATAAGGAACAGCATGGCTGCTCCTATTTTTATGCCATCAATTTTTAAAAACTCATCATGGTAAACAATTAAACAGAGAAGCAAATCCCACATTTAGGGGAGAGTTTCAAATCCCTAAATGGATTTTCAAAGGTCATTTCAGGCTTAAAAGATGCTTGACAGTGTCTCTTTAAATCACGTTTATTTCAAAGGCTTACCCAGCAAGAAGCAGGCAGTGCACTGCAGCACCCCCCTTTGAACTGCTAGGCTCCCCAGAGAAAAATATAATAATAGAACTTTAATTCATATTTATAGCAAGATTTGTGGGGTTTTATTTTAATTTAGGCAAGGATTGTTAACAAAAGAAATAAAAAAACCCACACTTGTTTTTTGAACTTAGCTTTCACCTAAACCCCATGGTGAAAAAGAAAATAAAGTTTGAACTACTTTATTAAGAAATCCTCCAGTTAAAAATGCCTTATCTTTCAAATGCAAGTTATTCAAGAGATTTGGTTCACACAGCTTTTTCATAACTTAACTGTGTAAGGGATGGGGGCAGACAGATACTGGGAGCTGATAGTTCCAGGTTGCCGCTTGTTTCTCTGCTCTTTGGATCCACAGAGATCTGCATCCAATGCTATCAGTGCTCAGAGGTCACAAACAGAGGACATCTTAGCCTTACCTTCCTCTCAATGCGGGCCAACTGCTCTTTATAGAAGGCCTCTCGCCGCTTCAGCTCTGCTTCCCTGCCTTGCAGCTCCACAGCCTGGGAAGAAGAACAAAAGAGCATCAGTGGAAGAAGAAATTAAAAATAAAAAGTGTGAGTGCAAGGAAAGCACATGGGACGCAGACTGGAAGGAACTAAAACAAAATCATTGCTCAGGACTGGTGTATGGGATCCCTCCTGGTAGAACTACAAACCTTCAGCATTGCAGTTCATTTTGGATTATCCTCACAACTTTGAAACTCTCTTATTAGCATCATATTCAAACTAATATTCTTGTTTTTATTTGTCATTATTAAAGGAAAACATATAATCATAGAGAGCTGACACCTTTCTATTGCCTTTTTCAGAACTCCACCTTATCTAAGTCTTTGTTTTTCATGAATCATGGTATCACCCCACTTCAACATTCTTCACCTTACCTTAAAAACAAACCTTAAATCCTCCACTTCATCAATACCTGACCCTTGGAGTGTCAGAAAACTTCTATAGATTTAACATATCCCTGCAATCATGGGGAAGATCCAAAATAGTCCATCTTGTAACACCTTGGTTACAACACACTTTCTCTCTGACCATGCGTTTGCTTTTACACACACCTGATTCCCCTGATAGCTAGGTGCCCTCTCCAGACGCTCTCTGCACCTACACCACCAGCACCCCCAGGGTTCCTCTGGCTGGGTGCTGCAGATTTGGAGGACAGATGGGTGTCAGAGAATTTCTCTTCCATCTTCTAAAGTATAAGTGTGACATTTCCAAACAGCAAACTTGGTATACAAGCACGTGCTTAAGCATAACCTGGTCGTCAACTGAACAATGATCAATTGCGTGGTTACAGCAACAGCTTTTGCCTTTTAGCTCTTCATAAGCAGCAGCACTTCATTGCACTCCCACCCCTAAACTGAAGTAGCATTAAGAAAACACAGCATTGATGGAACCAAACCAAACTTTTTAAGCTTAAAAATAACAAGCAACAATAGCAAGAAGAATTGCACTTCTTTTAATTCCCCCATCCCACCCCAAAATCTCTGGGGCCACCAAAGTTATCACCAGGCAAGACGACCTTTCGAAACTAGAATTATTAGTCCGTTTAACATGAACACAAACCCTGCTAATCTTTAGCATCCCAGCAGTATTGCTCTTAACTTTTAATGATGATGGTACAATCACAAAAAATGCTGGTCCAATACGATTAATCAGCTGGGACAGAAACATCCTCATGGGCTCAGACCTGTCGTTTTACAGCCAACAGCCATTGTTAATGAGAAAAATTACACCTGAAAGCCAGTGGCTGTGCTTTTCCTTTTTTCTACTCCCCTGCTGATGGAAATACAGTGGTATAATAGGGCTTGTAAGACATTTTAAGCTAGGCAGTGAGGGACAGTTGATAAGCAAGCAAGCAAAGAAGTAGAAGCACATGAAATAGGGGGTTTGCAGGGGTGTGGTGATGGTGTCTGTTTGTTTGTTTATTTTTAAAGGAAAAAGAAATGTTTTGGTTTCCACATTTGTCATCCAACCAACAGGGCCAGGGTAAGGCTCAAGCACTATAGACTCACATCTGAATCCCCTTACTCCCAAAGACACTTGATTTAAGACAAAACCTCTGGCTTTGGTTTAACCAGAGCTGCTATACGTCTTCCAGCTCACAAACCAGCTGAAACAGGATGGGAAGGGGGATATGAGAATCAGCTGCCCCATACACGTAGCCTGACCAAAGAGATACCACAGCAATAATAGGGGCACTTTGTAAGTGCCAAAACTATTACTATTTCTGTAATAAGAGAACCATAGCTATCTTTCTGAACCAATGTCCATCTTCTATACAGAAAAGGAATAAGCAATTTCAACTGAAATGAAACAGAGGTGAGAAGGCAGGGTGGTCTGGTAGATGACCAGAAGAACCTGATTCTCCTGCTGATTTTCTGTGTAAAACCCATAAAATCAGATTACTAAACAAGTGATTTGTATTTCCTTAAGGAGAAAATAAATAAGGAATAGAAAGAAGAGGAACATAGTACTGACCCCTCTACACAATTCGGATGAAAGGTACTTTTGATGTGAAGTGTATTTCAAGAAAAAAAAAAAAAAAAAAAAAGAAAAAGAGTCAAAAGATCAACTCTTAAAAATGCAAGAAAGTTTCTGCTCAATCTACATAAATTAATTATGTGGCAGTGCTACTGCCCTGAGTAGCAGACTATTCTGGGAGCACAAAACCAATACGTGTTACAATACTGGTGGGCAAGAGGCTTTATTCTGTTTCTGGCAAGACATGGCTAAGACTTCTCTGGAAGGGAACACAAACCAAATACCTAATCTCTCCAGTGGGGTGGTGAGATGCAGACACATCAGAGAAGTGCTGAAAAGCATGATGGCAACCCACGGACACCCAAGCAGACCTGACTGGAGCTGGGATGCCCACAGTGAATGATGCCTCCACACCAACGCACCCTGCAGCAGACAAACACTCTGTCAGTGACTCCCCCAAGATCTCACAAAATTGATGTCAAAGAATCAAAACCAGATACCCCAACTGCAGACCACAATCTCAGTATACACACACCCCCCCCATTCTTCCCACTAAGTAATTTCTCCCATACTATCTCCCATTATCCCCCAGTCATCATCCGCAAGTTTTCTGATGAACCAGAGGTTGCACAGAAAACTTCTACTCGTCACTCGAACATATTTTCAATGCCTTGTTTGTTTTCAAGAGCTGCTGCTGTTTCAGTGCATTGAAGTATTCTGAGAAACATTCTATTTGTGACAGATCTGCTTGAAAGTCGCTTTCTGTTTCCCTCTATCCCCAGCTGGTATTACTAGAAACTTTAGTACACTTTATGATGATGTTTGAAGTATGAATGGTACAGTCAGAGCATGTGTCATTTGAAATATTCACTGTTCCAAACTGGGTTAGGCAACAAGGGACATTTTGTATGAATACAGGATATTTATTAAGAGTTCCTCTAGTCCTGCTGCTTATTCCCTACCTGAAGTCAGAAGCCTGTGATGTCCCAGACAGAACTGGCTGCTATGGAGATGATTACAATTTCACAGGGTATTGAGATTGCAGGTGCCAAACAAAGCATCAGATACACTTTTCACATAAAGGCCTTTAGAACTGAAGAAGGAAGGAGAAGGGAAGACATACACAATAACACAATGGTTTGAAAATCATATAACAGAAAGTTGCATTTCACATCCACGCTGCAGAAGCTACATCTGAGGTTCAGCATATGACACAAGAGATGACCAAAGCCCAGAGATGACATCTAAGAAACTGTAGTGCAGAACACAGCAGAGTGTGATGTCCAAGAAGTATGAAGACAGAAACAAACCAGAGGGAGGGAAGGAAGAGTATAGTTAGTTGCAGAACACACCAGTGCACCCAAAACTTAGAAAAGTAGCATGGGACAGCATGTATTTGCAAAAGAGAATGAATGCAATAGGCAATTGTCCTCTGTACAAGAACTAAGTGTAAGATATACCAAGGAACTGCTCAGAAATCCTCTGTGATGTGTCAGAAGTTACAAGCATTGCTTTGTTACAAAAGGACAGTGAAGGTATACTACCAGCAGGCTACTACAGCTTCCTTGGGCATGGATCTATGGACTGGCTGGGAGCTCTTTCAAATTCTTCCTACTTTTTATCCTGACACTTTTTTCACAGCCCAAATTTTTTCAGGTTATCTCAGCGCTGCTTTGAAAGGTGACAAAGAGCCAGGGCAGAGTCAAGTGCGACTCCCTGCCGCCTCCTCTCTCTTTATCAGGTAACCCATTTAGAAACAAACTCTGCAAGCACATTTCTGAAGCTATACATTACATACTGGCTCCAGTAAAGAATTCAAGTACTGGCCTGCTAACTGACATGCAGGCCAAAAGAAATATTTTACAAGCCTCTTAACTGAGGTAATGAAATGTTATTGGTTCATTCTGTATGAACAAAGCCAGACACTCTTCGCCTCGTCCTGAATTGACACCAACACGTCAGACTGTGCAACTGATCTTCTAGAGCTGGGCTTCACTCTAGCTGCATCCATTCCCAAATTAGCTTTGGCTTTGCCCCCCACGAAATATCACCAGATTTTTATTATGTTTAATCATAGTCCCTTCTCATCACCTTGTTAAACACGAAAACAAGGAAGGAAATCTGCTTGAAAAAAGGGCTTCTTGGCAGGGTCAGATTACTGTAAGGAATGTGGCACCCAGGAATAAAGGGCAGCAATAGCACAGCCCACAGCTGACGGCTACCTTCAGGCTGTCTGTCTCTGCAGTACCATTGGGATCCTGGGATGTGGGGAGAGGGAATGGAGAAGACTCTACCGGAGGAAAAAACCCACACCCCTCTCTGCAAAGGGCAAGTTGAGCTAGAAGGAAAGGTCCATACCTCAATCTATAAAGAGCTTCCTCAAAGGCAAGTCACAGCACTTGGCAAGATTACTGCAAAAATATTTATCTTCTTGGCAAAACACATTCACCAGTCACAGATGAACTAGTGAGATGACGCCTAGAGAATGAGTCGGAAGCAATCCAGGGAAAGAAGCTACAAGGATAAAGGAAAGGTCCTTAAGTCTCTATCAATCACCTTGTTTCTACATTATCCGATCTCTGCCGAGAGGAGTTATCGGCTTCCCCCAGAGGTATGCAGTAACATCTCCGCAGCAGCACAACAGAGATGTTTTGGCTGGGTACCTCAGCTTGCCACACTTCACAACGGCAAATTCTTATACCTCATGCTTTCCCATGTCTCTTCCAGTCCTGGTAGCAGTCCAGGTGGCAGGGGAGAAAAACAAATGCTATTAAAGGCTCCAAGACTAGAAGAAGGAATTGACAGCAATGCACTGAAGAACAGAACTAGCTCCAAAATTAGCTAGCTGGCATGTTCCTCACCAAGCCTAAAAGGAATGGCAGAGCTGAAAGGGCAACAGTGAAACAGTAAGAGGCAGCTTGCGCACATCATGCCTGAGCCTGAACAGCAGAACTTTACAGGGAGGCTTGTGCTGGACAAGTAACCATGGGGGAGCTTTGACTCAACCTCCACTTGCA